CCGGAGGGCTGATGCTCCTTTTTCTCCAGAGCACACTCCCATCACCTGGGGAAAGCCACCCAATGACTACATTAAAGTCTAATCTCCCCAAGTCAAGTGGAGAAATGAATGTGGTTTAAACAAAGCAGGGCAGGTGTTCCTCTTTCAGAAAGCATTGCCCACTGCCTGCTGCATGCCAGGATCAACACTCCAGAGAAGAGACAGAGCCAGGGCCCTTAAGCCTGTGTGCAAATCTCCTCAGTGCCAACTGGCACCATGCTTGCATAAAACCACCTTCTCCCCACTCTACTGCCACCACCTTGGCCCATCACTGCTCTCTGCTTCATGCACATGGTGAAAACACAGGTTCTCCCTCATCTCCTGTTTTCCACTCTTTTCTGCTCTTTCACTATTCATGGTGGCATTGCTACAGGAAAGGCAGCACCTCTGGTGCTACAAGGAGGACATATTAGAAGGAGAAAAGAGACCATAATACCCTACAGGAGTCCCTCATCCCTAGGGTGGCCCACAAGGAAGCATCCCAAAATAGAAATCTGATCTCATTATTCCCATTTTAAGCCCCTTCAATAAAGACAGCAAATCTCATAACTGGCATCCAGCTCACCACATCTCCCAAGTCTCTGCCCCCATGTGCCTCAGTGTGCTAACCCACACAGCCTCCTCTAGCAGCCTTGAGGCCTGTCCACAGGCTGTCCTTCTGCTTGCTACTTCACGAGACTACTGTGAACACTCCTCCAGAGTGCCTTCCTCAGAAGAACCACCTCTGAACATCCTGACATCAGATTTAAGTCCCCCTGAGCCTTGCCTCTCTAACATTCCAGAAACTTATTCTGCTCTTAAAATCCTTCTCAAATCTGTATTTTTATGCACTTTTGTGTGAAGACTTGTTTCAAGTTTCTCATCCCCTTGGACTAGAATTTCCATGAATGAGGTAGTGGCCATGCCTTGCCTATCTTTTCATAGTCTTACATGTATACCCCAGCACAGTTCCAGCACATAAAGGGTACATAACAAAATTTGATGGATAGGTAGATGGATACCCTCTAGGAATGACTGAAAGGGGTTTCCATGGGAGAAGGACCTGGCCACACTCGAGGGACAGTACCCCAAGTGCAACATGGAAGACTGATGGAGAGAAGAGATGGGCGACCATGTCACTATATCTTCTTTTGACATTCCCTCCAGCACCTGGCAAGGGGAGAGTGCTGAAGACCATGATAAGCTTTAGGGGAATCACCCCCAAGTCACCCCCAAGTCTTTTATGATCTTCAGATCATAAAAGAGATCTCAAGGAGCAACTGTAGCCAGTAATGAAGGAATCTAGCATTTGAAGCACTTCCCTGGGGCAGGAGATACCACAGTGCAGAGGAAAAATTGGGGTGTCAGGTACACCAGGGTTCCATCTCAGCTCTTACCACTCTGTAAAACATGGGCAACTCAGGTCATTGACCAATCTCGGTTTCTCTTTTAGTCAAATGGGTGCATGAATCCCCAGCTCACACAGATGTTAGGAAGATTAGCTCAAAGGACCGATATGCATGCCCTCCACAGCCCCAAAGCAAGGATGTTAGACATGTCCAGCCTTCCCATTTAACTTCCAAAAAAAAAAAAAAAAAAACCTTGCCTGAAACTTGTATTCTACAGCAAAGAGTATTTAGTGAATAAGCTAAACATGACTGCCAACTTCACTTTAGTTTACATTTTCAAGAAGGATAAATAGTGACCTAATGTTGGGGTCAAATGCACTCTTTCTGGTAAACATTTGACCTTCATATAAATACCATCTGACTGGTACCTAGTCAAAGAGCTGATAACAGTGTCAGGAATCACTTTATCTTCTCCATCACCCTGTGAGATGAATCCCAATAAGATTATCCTCCCTGTACACATCAGGAGATCAAGGCCAAGGAAGTTTAAGAAACTCATTTCAAGTGATCAGCCAAGATGACTAGTGGAAAGGCTGGCAGAGATGAGATGCCATCCACAGAGGTGACTTCAGACTCCATGCTGGTCACTAAGTATTTAGAGGACCCATTTGGCTTTGTAAGTGGAATTTGCTTTTAACACAGCTTCTCTAATATCAAGGGAGGAAAAAAAAAAACTTATTTACTTTTGCAAATATCATATCATCTAAAACCAACACAAAAAAAGTGCAAACATAACTTATCATTCAGAGAAGAGTAGTCAGAGGCCTCAGGGAAGAGAAACAATTCACAAAAGTTGCACTGTGAGTTTGAGCTGCAGACCAGTCTGTGAGCTCTTGGACTAGCTGCCTCCTTATGCCTACTGTGGAGGAAGACTCTGGATTCTACATCTGGGGTGCTTACCAACTATATACTTTGGGAAGTTACTTTAAAGCTCAGGACCTTAGTTTTATTATCCTTAAAAATTGGATTACTGTAGCAATTTCTTTGTCAAGTCCTATTTACTATTAAAAGAATAGTGTGGGCCCTCCCTGGTGGTGCAGCGGGTTAAAGCCCAGCACTGAGAAGCTACAGCCACTTCCGCATGAGTTCGATTCCCGCCTGCCCCGGAGGAGATCCACATGGCGTAGCAGACCTCTCCTGACACACCCGCTGCTCCCCTCAGCAGTGTACTTCGTCGATCTGCCTGTTCTGCTCCCCATTCTGTCTCTAGTGAAGCCTCTTGCCGCCCCTGCACCTCTGGCCTGTACCCCAGCTCTGTATGCATAAATAAATCTTAAAAAAAAAAAAAAAAGAATAGTGTGTGTACTTGCATAAAGTATAAAACAGCCTGGAAATTGTGGAAATTCTAGGATAATGTTTCAGTCTCAGCACTATTGACAGTGCATCTATCACGAAGAAGCATTTGAAGAATTATCATTTATTATTCTCTGTTAGTTTTGTACAGGCACTTTCCATAGGAAACCACACTTAACTTTATTCTGACTGTTGCAAGGTAGATATGATCCTTGCATATCACGAGGAGTAGCTGAGGTAGAAAGACTGTCGTGAACAACAGAGGAGACTGAGGTACCTTTTGGGGAGGCGACTCTGTAGGGATTAGTATCTTTTGGGGTGCACTAGTTTCCTCTTTTATGCATACAGGACCTATTGTATCTATTAACTTTGGGGCAGATTTAGTTCCTCGACTGATTGACCTGTAATTACCAGGCCTGTCCCCATCTCAAGGTGAAAATAATGTCCTCAGAGAAAAGGTGGGAGGAGGAATGTGGGACAGGAGTCATGGACTCTCTGTGTGATGTGCTGATATGTGTAAGGTTTGGGAAAAAAGTGACCTCATCACAGCACTTTTCTTTGCACACTTCTCAGGAACAAGCAAATCTTTGAGGCTGAAGTTATTGGCTGAAGGGTAGATTCTTTCTGAAACTTCACAAGCCTTAAAATAATACTCTACATTCCACCCCCCCCCAAAAAAAAATTTCCATTCTATCTGGGTTGAGATTCCAGCACTGCCATTTATTCCTCCTGTGAATTTGGATAATGAACCTTCACCTATTGACCTACATATGTGTGTGCATAAAGCTGGTCCTTAACTTTGGATGCATACAGGGGTTACTTGTGGAGATTTCTTTAATATTGGCACCTGAGTCTCACCCTCAGAAATTCTGCCATAATTAATTGAGAACATGGCCTAGATATCAGTATTTTTTAACTCTCCAGGTGATTTTCACATGCAGTCAAAAACTGAAAACCTCTAATACACATGTAGCATATACCCAATTAATACTATGTTAATTGCTCACTCAAATTTTATTTTTAAAGGACTCTTCAGTTTCTCAGGATGGCACAGAGATTCTTTATTCCTGCCACCCCATGCACATTCTCATCTTGACAACCTCTGCACTTTCAAAACAGTTCACTCAACCCCCAGCCAATCAGCCAGGCCCTTATCTAGCTTTAGTTCCCCTTCTGTTCATTGGACAGAGCCAATTGGTTAAAACACACAATGCCCTCCCGGAGATGCCAATGAGAAAACCAAAGAGATGGAATGATCCATTGTTCATACTTCAGCCAGGGAACGCCATTATTTGCCTCCAAATCTATCTCATACTGTATACAAAAGCTCACACAATAAGGCCACAAGTTCTCTCAGATGGATCTTAAGCAGTAATGTTTCTCCTACCCATGTCTCTAGGACAACCCCCACCACACACACACATACAGACACACACACAAAGACACACACACACACACAAACACACCTTGGATAAATGCTCACCTCTATTCTTCATGGACTACTCCCATGTCAGGAGATGTGCCATCAGCCAGTCACTCATTTCTAGCCACGCCTCCCCCAAAGACAATCTACTCCAGTCATGCTATTTCCCAAAAGCTCTCCATGATTTACATATGAGTGGCCTTTGCTTTACATGCCTTCTTCTTCCATTATTTGTCTGAAAGATTTTTATTCACCTTAAAAAAGCAAACTCAACTGTTTTCCTTCATAGCTTACCTAGTCAGCTCTTCAATCCCCTCCCCACACCAATAGAGCTTATATTCCAACCCTGTGCTCTCAATTTTTGAACACTCAGGTCTAGCATATACCATGGTGCACTATATTGATGTAAATGTTACACTGGATAGGCATTTTGTAATTTGTCTTTTCATGACCAACTTCTAGGGACAAGAACTTAGCAGGTGCAAACTAAATGCTTGTTGGACTGCATCCAATTTTCAGATGCAGATCTTTAACAGTCAATTTTTGAAACAACTCCCTAAAATAATCAAAATGGACTTTGTCACTATCTGGCAGCTTATTAGTATTCATCAGCTATAAAACTTTAAAAAGGAGAAATTAATTTTCTTGCTCATGTATGTATATGTGACCAAAAAATGAATAAACACTTACCATAAATCTGAAATAACACAAGAGAGGAAATGTCTCTGGAAAGAATAATTACATTTTACAAGAAAGAAACATTTGTCTGGGGGTGGGAATGAAAGGGTTTGGGAGAGATGGCATTTTTGCTGCTTTATTTCCTGAGATGGGGGGACTGATGAGAACACCTGCTTTACCTTTTCCGGAGCAGGCAGCTGTAAGTGATTAACCTCCAAGGGAGTGATGAGAGGGACGGTCTGGAAGCCATCCTCAACCGAAGGTGGCTTGGTTCCCTTCTCGCTGGGGTTACTGTTCAGCTTCACCATCCTTACGCCTTTCTTTCCAGACCTAAGGCAAGCAGTGGGATTCTAGTTACAGTAGGAGGTAAGACAAGGAACTAGAGAGCTGACAACAAGGAAAATAACACTGTCCTCAATATCTACACTCAGACAGTTTTCAATATAAAGAGCAGTCATAGATCTTCCACTAGATTTCCTTCTATGATTCCCATTATCCAGTAAAACTTACTTAATCATCAAAATGTACCACCTGCCCACAGGATCCAACAGTCCTCAAATTTGGGAAAATCCCAGATTTATGCACACACACACACAATACAAGCTTAAAGAATCCAAGGCACTAGAGCTAATGTGGTCATATAATCTCATGAAAATCCTTATTCTCAGTGCAAATTAAATTCTATTATTCTGGGTCACCCTGCAGTATGATAAATTTCACCTTACCACCCTGGTTGCTATTTGTTATATTGTTTTCTCTTTATTAATCTCCCTAAAACACAATAAAATATTCAATGTCTGTATGTGTAATGTATCCTTTTACATGATACATAGATTGTACAGGAGATGCTAAAACAAACAAACAAAAAAAAGACTGGTTGCAACCCAGTCTTATTATTCAACTGTGGAAATGCCTCCATTTCCTCAATATCAAAGGGATATAGATATAGATATATATAAGAATCTATATCTACATAGATATAGATATATATAAAACGTGTGTGTTTGTGTGTGTGTGTGTGTGTGAGTGTATATATTTTTTTTCCATGGAAAGTTAGCAACCCCCATATTGTAAGACTGCCAACTAAATAAACAAATCACATCTATTCCTCTCCAGCTCCCTTGGAGTCAAACAGTGCTCCCACCCCACCCCCAGAAGCCCAGCACAACTGAATTTCTCTTGTCAATCCGGCTGATAGAACATTATTAGACAAAATAGGGCTGTTGTGGGGGTGAAAGAGATGGCAAAAGGTTGGAGGATATAGGGGAGTTGCTATAGCAAAAACAAATGCCTACTTACTGTGCAGCACTCTTGGGGGTCAGAGCAGATTCAAGCCAATTTGAAGAGGAGGAGGACAGCCAGGAGTCCTCCCTCCTCAGCCCGAGCTTGTGGTGCTGAAAGGACAGCGCCTTGCGTGTATCTGGATTGGGAGCTTCTGCGAGCGAGGAGAGCAAGCAAGGAAGAGCTCCTGGCAGCTGCCTGCCTGTTCGCTCGCTCACTCGCGCCCCCTCCCACCGGGAAACGGGCTCCCACACCATCTGTCATCTGGCACCACCTGCTGTTTCTCATGCATGGCCACAACCATGGCATGGGACAAAATGGTTTCAAGAAAGTAAGAGGGATTCTGGCCAAAAAAATAAAAGAAAGAAAAACAAAAATGCCATGTAGCAAGCAATCCTCCAACCTTTAGAAAACCTGGAAAAAGAGGACATTTTCATGAAAAGGGACCACATCCTAAAATCTTCCAGGATAATATTATGAACGATATGTTCACAGGACCTCCACTTTACTATAAAGAAAGAAGGGAAACTAATAATAAATATTAGTTTAATGAACACTTTACCAGAACTTGGCAGACTGTTTCCCTGATTTGCAAAATGTGATTTCTAATAGTACCTAAAGGATGGAGTTAGTGTCAGTATGACTGCATGGTGGGAAGTGTTTAGCTCAGAGCAGGACATATGACAAGCTCTGTGTAAACATAAGCTACAGTTCTCACAATGTTACTACGATCATGCATACATCAGTTAAGGTCAGAGTGCTGGTACAGAGCCAGGAACTGGAATTCGAACCCTGGCCCATTACCACCAAAATCTGTCTTTAGTCCACAATATTGTATGATTTCCAGGTTAAAGTCTAGAATCAAGATTGTAGGGATCTTGGACAGGATCCTTACCCATTCCCCGCTGGTAGTTTCTATTCTCAGTTAGATTTCTAGGGTTTGATTCAGTTTAATTTGTTCATATTTCATTTCTCTATTTTCCATATAAGTGAAACCATCTCTTTCTGACTTATTTTGCTTAATACTTTCCCTCTAGTTTCATCCATGTTGTTGCAAACGGCAAGTTTCTTCTTTCTATAATTGAATAGTATTCCATTGTGTATACATGCCACAATGTCATTTCCATTACCCTGTCATTGAGCAGTTGGGTTTTTTCCATGTCTTAGATATTGTAAATAATATTGCAATGAACACAGGAATGCATATGTCTCTTCAAATTAATGTTTTTACATTCTTCAGACAGATACCTAGGAGTGGAATTGTTGAGTTGTATGATAGATCTATTTATTATATTTGGAGAAAACTCCATATGGCTTTTCATAGGGACTAATCCAGTCTATATTCTCACAGTGTACAAAAGTTCCTTGTTCTCCACATGCTTGCTTACTTGTTGTTTCTGGCCTTTATTGGTGTGTGCCATTCTTACAGATATGGGATGGTATCTCACTGTTGTTTTAGTATTCACTTCCCTGAAGATAAGTGATTATAAGCATGCATGTAAGTGATTTGCTCATGTTGCTGTTAGCCATCTGAATGTTCATTTTGGTGAAGTGAGTGCTTATTTAGATCTCCTGCCCATTTTGATTGGATTATTTTCTTTTCTTTGCATTGCATAATTCTTTATGAATTTTGGATATTAGCCTCTTATCAGGTCTATGAAGTACACATATTTTTCTCCCACTCAGTATAATGTCTTTTTATTTTAATGATAGTTTCTTTTACTCTGAGGAGGCATTTTAGTTGGATGTAGTTCCACTGGTTTATTTTTGGTTTTATCTCCCTTACTGTTGGAACAGAATTCTGAAAGATATCACTGCAGTCAATGTTCTCGGAGTGTTTTGCCCACATTTTCTTCTATGCATTTTATGATGTTACTTTCAAATCTTTAATTCATTTTGAGTCATTTTTTATGCATGATATGAGAGAGTGCTCTAGTTTCATGTTTGGCATATGGCAGTCCAGTTTTCCCAGCACTATTTGTTGACAGGACACTCCTTTCTCCATTGAATTATGGCAATTTGTCATAAACAAACAAATTATGTGTTTGTTTATAAGCTCTCAAATCTATTCCATTGATATGGTGTCTATTTTTATTCCAGTCCCATACTGTTTTCATTATTATAGTCTTGTAGCATAATTTGAAGTCTGGGGGTGTAATGTTTTTGTTATTCTTATCTCTTGTGAGGATTCTTATAGCTATTCAGTTTCTTTTGTGGGCCCATAGAGATTTCAGTAATGTGTGTTCTGTTTCTTTAAACACCATTAGAACTCTGATAGGAATTGTATTAAATTTGCATATTGCTATGGGTGTGAAGGCCATTTTACCATGGTTCCTGGAAATCCAGTCTCCTTTTTTTTTTTTTTTAAAGATTTATTTATTTATTCATACAGAACTGGGGTACAGGCCAGAGATGCGGAGGGTGAGAGGATTCACCAGAGACAGAGTGGGGAGCAGAACAGGCAGAAGTACACTGCTGAGGGGAGCAGCGGGCGGGTCAAGAGAGGTCTGCCTCACCATGTGGATCTCCTCTGGAGCAAGCAGGAATCGAACTCATGAGGAAGTGGCTTAAGCTTTAACCCACTGCAACACCAGGAAGGGCCCCAGTCCCCATTCTTAAGAACCTGAGCTATCAAGCATAAGGATGACAACATTCTATGGAAGGTGACAAAGAAAGGAATGAAAGTGTCTGGGTCTCAGTGAGCAACTGCATCAGCTTTGGACAACCTACCTTCAGACATTTTGTCATTGGAACCATATAAATCCATAATTATTTACATTGCCGAGTTAATATTTTCTTTTTTATGTAGAAGAACTGGGCTGTAGTCCAGAGGTTCAGGGAGTGAAAGCATTCACAAAGACAGAGTGGGACTGAATAGGCAGGTCCACTGAAATACACTGTTAAGGGGAGCAGTGAGCTAAACAGGAGAGGTCTGCTGCTCCATATGGGTTAGCGAGCTGCCCGGGGATTGAACTCAGGCCATAGTGGTGATAATGCTGAGACTTAACCCCTAGGCCACCAGGAAGGCTCCCAGAATAAATGTTTTCTGAAAGTAAAATGTGTTCCTAATAGAGATGACAGATTCCCTGGTTTTTCTGAGATATCTTTTATGTGAAAGTAAATGGTTTCCGCTGCAAGAAATGTGGTTATCTCCTTTTAGTGATCCCCCCACCATATATACACTTAGAATTGCTTCATTAGCAAAACATAATCACCATGCAATTGTTTGTATGGTTCCAGAGCAGATTAAAGAAATGTATCGAGAACTCAATTTCTTTAAGAGAAAAGAATAAAGAAAAAAAACATGCCAGGTATAAGGCTATAAAAATCCCAAGCTACAAAATTAACATATTTCAGTGGGATTCTACCTTAGAAATGTTACTTGAGTGACTCATGGGAATGTTCCAAAGTCAAGAAAACCAAACAAGTGTTAAATATAAATCTTGGATTAAAATGTGCAAAGAACAAGTAATTTATAATAACAATGCTACTGACATATCATTCCTTCAAGTAAAATTACTGTACCAGTTACAGATACTGGAGAATTTAACAAAGATGAATAAAATATATCCTGTCTTTAAAAATTAGAAGGGCCATTTTAATTATGATATGTTAACTCTTCTGAGCCATGAACAAAGAATGCCTTTCCATTTCTTTGTGTTATATCTCTTTTAATAATGTCTTAAAGTTTTTTGTTATAAATGTCTTCAACTCTTTTATTAAGACTATGCTTGGGTATATCATAAATTCTTTACAACGTTAACATGCTAGAGATACACTCTACTAGCTAATCATCATGAAAAACATACATATTATCTATATTGTTCAACTACAAAATTGATGATTGTGTGTATACATGTGTGTATGTAGCAAGAGAAAGAGCTGTTTCTAAAACAATGATGAATATGACATCTGAAGTGCATAAAGAACTGCTAATGTTAGTATGCACATATATATGAGAGGGAGGGATTCCTATAAATCTCATTTCCCACTTTTTCTTTACAAAACACTGATTTTTAAGTATAAGTTTTGTCTAGGATAATGCAATATAGACAGCTACATGAACTCCATTGTGAATTCTTGTGTACAATCTATTTTTGCTACCTCCAAATAAAAAAAGAAAATCCTCTGGCATAGCATGTACTTGAGTTACAAAAAGAGGTGCTCAGAATTTAATGATATCCAGGAGAAGTACCTGTCTCATGTCCATAAGAAATCTAAGTTTCCTGATATGTAACAGCAGGTGAAGGATTGCAGGTAGAAACAGGAAGCAGGAATGATATAAAATTCCTTGTTGGAGAGTTTTATTGAGAGATGTTTAATATGATAGTATGGAATGGTATAGTATGGTATGTCATGGCAAAATGTAGGATATTATCACTCTTGCAAAATTCTGAAAAATATTTTTTAAAGTTTTAAAAAGAAAAAAATGGCATTTTCTGATAAAGCTTTCCGTGTTAGCTGTGATGTATGAGACGACTGCAACAAACAGTAGAAAATGAAGGGACCAATATGGTAAGAATGTCTCTATGTCACTTTAAGTGCTAAACACTGATTCCAACTATGAAGTTAATTTATCTATGGTAATCCCTGGAATAACCAAAATTATACAATGATAATGTCAAAAATCTATTACTAAAAAAATGCAGACAACCCAAGGGATGGTAGAAGTGGGGAAACAGGCCCTCCCTGCTGGCATAATGGGTTAGGAGGCAGCACTGGAAGCTAGCCACAGGGCTTCAGTGAAAGTTCGATCCCCAGCCCTGGAGGTGACCCACATGGCACGACAGACCTCTCCTGACCCACCCACTGCTTCCTTCAGCAGTGTACTTTGTAGATCTGCCTGTTCTGCTCCCCACTCTGTCTCTGGTGAATCCTCTCACCATCCCTGCACCTCTGGCCTGTACCCCAGTTCTGTATGCATAAATAAATAAATCTTAAAAAAAAAAAGTGGGGGAGG